CGTGCGGGGGATCCGTGCTCGCTAGTGCTGCGCTAGTGGTGCTTGGCGTGCGGGGGCTCCGTGCTGCGCTAGTGGTGCTTGGCGTGCGGGGGATCCGTGCTGCGCTAGTGGTGCTTGGCGTGCGGGGGATCCGTGCTGCGCTAGTGGTGCTTGGCGTGCGGGGCTCCGTGCTGCGCTAGTGGTGCTTGGCGTGCGGGGGCTCCGTGCTGCGCTAGTGGTGCTTGGCGTGCGGGGGCTCCGTGCTGCGCTAGTCCGTGCTGCGCTAGTGGTGCTTGGCGTGCGGGGGCTCCGTGCTGCGCTAGTGGTGCTTGGCGTGCGGGGGCTCCGTGCTGCGCTAGTGGTGCTTGGCGTGCGGGGGCTCCGTGCTGCGCTAGTGGTGCTTGGCGTGCGGGGGATCCGTGCTGCGCGCTAGTGGTGCTTGGCGTGCGGGGGATCCGTGCTGCGCTAGTGGTGCTTGGCGTGCGGGGGATCCGTGCTGCGCTAGTGGTGCTTGGCGTGCGGGGGATCCGTGCTGCGCTAGTGGTGCTTGGCGTGCGGGGGCTCCGTGCTGCGCTAGTGGTGCTTGGCGTGCGGGGGCTCCGTGCTGCGCTAGTGGTGCTTGGCGTGCGGGGGCTCCGTGCTGCGCTAGTGGTGCTTGGCGTGCGGGGGTGCTGCGCTAGTGGTGCTGCGCTAGTGGTGCTTGGCGTGCGGGGGCTCCGTGCTGCGCTAGTGGTGCTTGGCGTGCGGGGCTCCGTGCTGCGCTAGTGGTGCTTGGCGTGCGGGGGCTCCGTGCTGCGCTAGTGGTGCTTGGCGTGCGGGGGCTCCGTGCTGCGCTAGTGGTGCTTGGCGTGCGGGGGCTCCGTGCTGCGCTAGTGGTGCTTGGCGTGCGGGGGCTCCGTGCTGCGCTAGTGGTGCTTGGCGTGCGGGGGCTCCGTGCTGCGCTAGTGGTGCTTGGCGTGCGGGGGCTCCGTGCTGCGCTAGTGGTGCTTGGCGTGCGGGGGCTCCGTGCTGCGCTAGTGGTGCTTGGCGTGCGGGGGTGCTCCGTGCTGCGCTAGTGGTGCTTGGCGTGCGGGGGCTCCGTGCTGCGCTAGTGGTGCTTGGCGTGCGGGGGCTCCGTGCTGCGCTAGTGGTGCTTGGCGTGCGGGGGCTCCGTGCTGCGCTAGTGGTGCTTGGCGTGCGGGGGCTCCGTGCTGCGCTAGTGGTGCTTGGCGTGCGGGGGCTCCGTGCTGCGCTAGTGGTGCTTGGCGTGCGGGGGCTCCGTGCTGCGCTAGTGGTGCTTGGCGTGCGGGGGCTCCGTGCTGCGCTAGTGGTGCTTGGCGTGCGGGGGTGCTCCTAGTGCTGCGCTAGTGGTGCTTGGCGTGCGGGGGCTCCGTGCTGCGCTAGTGGTGCTTGGCGTGCGGGGGCTCCGTGCTGCGCTAGTGGTGCTTGGCGTGCGGGGGCTCCGTGCTGCGCTAGTGGTGCTTGGCGTGCGGGGGCTCCGTGCTGCGCTAGTGGTGCTTGGCGTGCGGGGGCTCCGTGCTGCGCTAGTGGTGCTTGGCGTGCGGGGTGCTCCGTGCTGCGCTAGTGGTGCTTGGCGTGCGGGGGCTCCGTGCTGCGCTAGTGGTGCTTGGCGTGCGGGGGTGCTCCGTGCTGCGCTAGTGGTGCTTGGCGTGCGGGGGCTCCGTGCTGCGCTAGTGGTGCTTGGCGTGCGGGGCGCTCCGTGCTGCGCTAGTGGTGCTTGGCGTGCGGGGGCTCCGTGCTGCGCTAGTGGTGCTTGGCGTGCGGGGGCTCCGTGCTGTGGTGCTTGCGTGCGGGGGCTAGTGGTAGCTTGGCGTGCGGGGGCTCCGTGCTGCGCTAGTGGTGCTTGGCGTGCGGGGGCTCCGTGCTGCGCTAGTGGTGCTTGGCGTGCGGGGGCTCCGTGCTGCGCTAGTGGTGCTTGGCGTGCGGGGGCTCCGTGCTGCGCTAGTGGTGCTTGGCGTGCGGGGGCTCCGTGCTGCGCTAGTGGTGCTTGGCGTGCGGGGGCTCCGTGCTGCGCTAGTGGTGCTTGGCGTGCGGGGGTGCTCCGTGCTGCGCTAGTGGTGCTTGGCGTGCGGTGCTTGGCGTGCGGGGCTCCGTGCTGCGCTAGTGGTGCTTGGCGTGCGGGGGTGCTCGTGCGTGCTGCGCTAGTGCTGCGCTAGTGGTGCTTGGCGTGCGGGGGCTCCGTGCTGCGCTAGTGGTGCTTGGCGTGCGGGGGCTCCGTGCTGCGCTAGTGGTGCTTGGCGTGCGGGGGCTCCGTGCTGCGCTAGTGGTGCTTGGCGTGCGGGGGCTCCGTGCTGCGCTAGTGGTGCTTGGCGTGCGGGGGCTCCGTGCTGCGCTAGTGGTGCTTGGCGTGCGGGGCTCCGTGCTGCGCTAGTGGTGCTTGGCGTGCGGGGCTCCGTAGCTTGGCGTGGGGGCTCCGTGCTGCGCTAGTGGTGCTTGGCGTGCGGGGCTCCGTGCTGCGCTAGTGGTGCTTGGCGTGCGGGGCTCCGTGCTGCGCTAGTGGTGCTTGGCGTGCGGGGGCTCCGTGCTGCGCTAGTGGTGCTTGGCGTGCGGGGGTGCTCCGTGCTGCGCTAGTGGTGCTTGGCGTGCGGGGGTGCTCCGTGCTGCGCTAGTGGTGCTTGGCGTGCGGGGGCTCCGTGCTGCGCTAGTGGTGCTTGGCGTGCGGGGGCTCCGTGCTGCGCTAGTGGTGCTTGGCGTGCGGGGGCTCCGTGCTGCGCTAGTGGTGCTTGGCGTGCGGGGGCTCCGTGCTGCGCTAGTGGTGCTTGGCGTGCGGGGGCTCCGTGCTGCGCTAGTGGTGCTTGGCGTGCGGGGGCTCCGTGCTGCGCTAGTGGTGCTTGGCGTGCGGGGGCTCCGTGCTGCGCTAGTGGTGCTTGGCGTGCGGGGGTGCTCCGTGCTGCGCTAGTGGTGCTTGGCGTGCGGGGGCTCCGTGCTGCGCTAGTGGTGCTTGGCGTGCGGGGGCTCCGTGCTGCGCTAGTGGTGCTTGGCGTGCGGGGGCTCCGTGCTGCGCTAGTGGTGCTTGGCGTGCGGGGGTGCTGCGCTAGTGCTGGCGCTAGTGGTGCTTGGCGTGCGGGGCTCCGTGCTGCGCTAGTGGTGCTGGCGTGCTCCGTGCTGCGCTAGTGGTGCTTGGCGTGCGGGGGCTCCGTGCTGCGCTAGTGGTGCTTGGCGTGCGGGGCTCCGTGCTGCGCTAGTGGTGCTTGGCGTGCGGGGGCTCCGTGCTGCGCTAGTGGTGCTTGGCGTGCGGGGGCTCCGTGCTGCGCTAGTGGTGCTTGGCGTGCGGGGGCTCCGTGCTGCGCTAGTGGTGCTTGGCGTGCGGGGGCTCCGTGCTGCGCTAGTGGTGCTTGGCGTGCGGGGGTGCTCCGTGCTGCGCTAGTGGTGCTTGGCGTGCGGGGGCTCCGTGCTGCGCTAGTGGTGCTTGGCGTGCGGGGGCTCCGTGCTGCGCTAGTGGTGCTTGGCGTGCGGGGCTCCGTGCTGCGCTAGTGGTGCTTGGCGTGCGGGGCTCCGTGCTGCGCTAGTGGTGCTTGGCGTGCGGGGGCTCCGTGCTGCGCTAGTGGTGCTTGGCGTGCGGGGCTCCGTGCTGCGCTAGTGGTGCTTGGCGTGCGGGGGCTCCGTGCTGCGCTAGTGGTGCTTGGCGTGCGGGGCTCCGTGCTGCGCTAGTGGTGCTTGGCGTGCGGGGCTCCGTGCTGCGCTAGTGGTGCTTGGCGTGCGGGGGCTCCGTGCTGCGCTAGTGGTGCTTGGCGTGCGGGGCTCCGTGCTGCGCTAGTGGTGCTTGGCGTGCGGGGCTCCGTGCTGCGCTAGTGGTGCTTGGCGTGCGGGGGCTCCGTGCTGCGCTAGTGGTGCTTGGCGTGCGGGGCTCCGTGCTGCGCTAGTGGTGCTTGGCGTGCGGGGGCTCCGTGCTGCGCTAGTGGTGCTTGGCGTGCGGGGCTCCGTGCTGCGCTAGTGGTGCTTGGCGTGCGGGGCTCCGTGCTGCGCTGCGCTAGTGGTGCTTGGCGTGCGGGGCTCCGTGCTGCGCTAGTGGTGCTTGGCGTGCGGGGCTCCGTGCTGCGCTAGTGGTGCTTGGCGTGCGGGGCTCCGTGCTGCAACATTTTGGATTCACAAAAAGCTTCATAAAATAGATAACTTCCTGTATTTTAGTACAGTAAAGAATAGTTTAAAATAACCTATATGCAAAGCTTCAGAGATGTCCCTTAACAATTGCAGCTCGTGGCTGCGGATATTGCGTCCATAATTAACTCTGTCTGGCGGGGAAACATTTTTGCGTCTAAAATTAAAATGCTAAAATTGCATTTATTAGATTATTATGGAACTAGTCTTAAAATGAGTACCTTTTTAGATTACGAAAAATTTGGTACCAAAATGAACACTGTAGCATGGAAATTGAGGTCAGAACATTAAAGAGTACACACATTTTAGTGTGGGTTTGTGCTCCCGGGAAACGCCAGGCCCACCTTGGGGTGGGTTGGGGTGCACTCGCTGGGCTGTGCAGTGTTAATCTAACGATTGTACGTTAGTGAAGCATAATCTGTACAATACTTTTTCTGCAGGATAGTGTTAATCTCAAGACTGTCATCTGTATAGGAAAGGTTGTGTAGTACAATACTGTGTAGTAATTTCCATACTGTGCTGGTACTTCCCTGAGAATTGCACAAAAATCTGTAACTACAGTAGCTTGAAATTGTTGTGTTGGCCTACCTTGATGTCTTCAGAGTTTTGTGTAGCAATGTTTAGTGTAGTTGGCTAGAGATTATACTCTGGTCTACCAGACGGGAAGATGATTGGGCACATGTTCTCAAGACATTGGGCACATGTTCTCAAGACATTGGGCACATGTTCTCAAGACATTGGGCACAATGAAGTATTATAATATCAGTGCTATTGTGGCTCCAGAGGTGCATTTGTATTGTTTTGGAATGAAATTTTCTGTACGCTTTCCTACTATTATAATGCATGCTTCAGCTGGCATTGCTGAAGTATGTTGTTACATTTATAAGGTGGCTGTCCCGATTATAACAGATATTGTCTTGCAGGTTACTGGCCCTGGAGTCGGCTTTGCACGAAGGTGTCGATGACCACGAGCTCATTGGCATCACCAGGGGCCGAGTTCTTCCCGAGGAGCATCGAGCACAGGTTAGGCATTTGTGTGTGCGTGTGAACGAGCTCTCTAGTGTCCTGCATTCAGGGGATGACTAGTTCAGGCACTTTGAGAGAAGAGAATTGAATTGTTTGGGCATAAAATATTATGCCTGTAATACTGTAGTCTTGTTGTATAGATAACTAGAGCTCACTACCTGGGTAGTGAGCTTGAATAGTGTTGTACCAAAAGTTGTAATGCAGCTAGTTCATAGAACAGTCCTGTGCAAGAGGGACAATTGACTTGACAAGCATAAAGCCACAGTACAGGTAAGGCTTCACCTGGAGGTGTAACTTGGGGTTCCTTCATATGTTTTATGCAAAAATACATTACTAAAAGTTTTCTAGTAATGAATTTCTACTATAAATGAAAATGGTTTGCAGATTTAAAGGCAAAAAAAGTGTAAAGTTAATGGCTTATTGTAGCCAGTTCTGGTCAAAATGTCTTGCTTGCAGCAAGTTTAAATTTTGATCAGTGACTCCATTAACTTAAAAATTGGATAATTCTAGATATTTGACCTAGTGTTGATTGTATTATTGGATATACTGTAATGTCCAGTGTGGTAAAATAAGGACGTTTTCACGTAAAGTTGATTACCTCCTGGTTAATTGCCCAAGTATTGGAAGATTTGGGATCCCTTGGTTCCCTCACAAGAGTAGCTCAACCTCTGAAGATTTTCATCCAAGTTAAATATTTTGATATCAAGCTTAGGAAGCTGGAAGTGGGGGGGGGGGGCTATAAGTTGAGGCTCAAAAAGGGAACCATATACTGTACTATTATGTACATCATCCTGGAAGTTTGTTGCCAAGTGTTATGGTGCTGTGTTGAGGTACAGATGTTCAACTTGGTGTAGATTATTATGCACAACATTTTGGTGAAATGTGGTACTGTCATTTTGGCTTTTGTTGGAGAAATTGCAAAGTATAAAACGAGGAAGTGGATTAATATTGAGAGATGTAGTTGAAGCAGCTTGGCTCTGTATAATTCTAGTGATTTTTTTTTCTAACCTAGATGTTACCCCTGAACGTGTGCAGTATAACTTGTGAACTTTATTTACTCGAGGCTAACTGGTGGAATGTGCCAGCTGGACACTCCAGACGTCGTCAGTTGCCTTTCGTTGTCTAGGCCTTGGATGCATGTTAAATTTTCCCCTTCCCGTCCCTATACTCGCCCCTGGCCCGATCATCTCGCCGGTGCCTCCGTGGGCAGAGAAGCTCATTCGGGTTTCTGTGGACTTTTCAAAGCCTCCTCGTTGGAAGAGATTTAGGGGGTCTGGCCCCTTTAATTTTTGCAGACCTACGAGCCTCCTTATACTCTGGATACTTAGAGGTTTACATGGATGGGTCCTGCAAAGATCAGCCACCATCCACATCTGTGGCAGCATACTTTGCTCCTTTTTCCTTCTGTCAGCCGTGGAAACTCTCCCTTGCTCATTGATGTCTGGCCGGGGAACTGTTTGCAATCTTGCTAGCCTTAAGACTCCTTCAACAAGTTTCAGGGCCCTCTGCGGTCGTTTTCTACGTGGACTCGATTACAGCCCTACATCTGATGTCATCTCGGCGTCCACGAGTCCATCGTCATACTGTCACAGATCCGTGGAGAACTGCTGTCATACTCTGGGTTGGTTGATCTCTAATGGGTTCAGTCACATGTCGGTATTAACGGCAATGAGATGGCCAACGCAGCAGTAGCAGGGATGGTGCATGCTCTCCATGACTCTACAAATGGGCCTCTAGACCTTTCAGAAATTCTCCCGCAACTCCGGGCGGTTTGCCTCGCCTGTTGCGAGGCAATGATGGAACCAGCACTCTGGTCCTCCTCTCTGGTGGGTCTCCGGGAGGAATCCTCCCCGCGTCCATGGACTCATCATTCTCGACACTGCCATCACTCGTCTCTGGATTGGGCACACCTGCCTGGCTGCACATCTCCATCGTCTACGGCTGGTAGATTCCCCATACTGCCAGTGGTGTCCGACCCAGGAGGATACAGTGGAACACCTTCCACTGCCCTTGATTTCATAGCGCTCATGTTAGGCTACAGAGTGCTGTTTGTAGGTTGAATATTCCCTGCTTCAGTTTCCGTTCTCCTTGACGGGGCAGGTGTGAGAGACGAAGACTCCGTCATGACGTCCTTCGCCATACCTTCCTCTTCATCCGTCATGTCCGTGGCCTAAAGAGACTGTAAAATGTGGCCCGGGGAGATTGTAGGGTCTATTGCCTGAAGAAACTATAGGGGCCACATCCCTCCCCTATTTCCTGGTATCGGGCAGCCGGGGCGCATCAGATCCCACAATCGTCGTCGCCCCTAAATCAACACAACTTGATTTATGTGGTGGTCTTGTTTAATTTTTTCTCAAGTGGTAATTATATATTGTAGTTTATTAAATACATGCCGAGATCTGTAAATTTTTTTTTTTTTTTTTTTTTTTTTTTTAAGCTCTGAAATAGTGTAAACACTGGTAATGTATATTTGATACAAAAGTTTAAGATCCGGTGGGCTACAAGAGATGGCTATAGTTTGCAGGTGATACTAATGTTGGGTTATGGCAAATTCTGTAAGGTGTGGCCATACACACACACACACACACCATAGTTTTTTTTTTTTTTTTTTTTTTTTTTTTTTTTTTTTTTTTCTCTCCTCTTTAGGAATGAAATCTTGTTGACCCTAATACTATTACCATGTAAATTATGCATGTAATGGTATCTGAAGTATTATCTTCTGGTGCTGGATGGGGGTTCGTGTTTATAAGGGAGGAATAGAGCAATGTCTCAAGACGTGGAAACCTGGCTTTAACTACACCCCCAAGAATGGTTCCTCTTCAGACTGACTGTGAAGGGGAATGTCGGTGTTGGGTGGTCATTGAACATTGTCCATAAACTGTTCAGTTTGCTTCTTGGCACATTTTGAAAGGGTTGCCATATAAAAACACTACAGGATGCCCGAGGTCTAGTGTGCACTCACGTTTTGCCTATATAATATTTTGGCTGCTCTATCTAGTGCCTGTTTATCCCTTGGACTGTGACATTGGGAAAAATAGGGTCATACCCACCTACGCGTGCAAACAAATTTAATTCAAAACACATTTCGGTATGGAAATAATATTGTTCCCCCCCCCCCCCCCTCCAAAAAAATAAAATGCTGCATTTGTAGGAAATGTTGGAAAACCTTGAATCTCTCTCTCCATACTGGGTGGAGGCAATCGGAAGGGTGACACTGTGGTGTCTCGTGTCTCCAACCCATCCTCCTGTTTACACGGTACCTACTGTGACGATCCTCACTAGTCAAATTTGTACATTCTTGGATTTTAGATAGTAGTATTCAGACTAAGATTCTTTTAAAATGTAGCTAAAACACACTTAAATATTCCTTAGGTTAGGTTTGTCAAAGCAAAAAAGAGTTAAAGGTTAAAAAAGCATCGTTTGTCCAACTTGGTAGTTCAGATTTCTACTCTGGTGTGCTGCTTGTATGTTTTGTTTCTCTTACACTTGTGTTGAATAACTGTTACATAATTCAATCTATGATTGTGTACATTTGTAAAATTCCATGAAATGGTTTCTAGTTTACAATATGTATATGCATGTACATTATTTAAAATGTCCTAGTACTGTTTTATACTTTAGTAATTTAACATGTGGTGGTTTCTGAAACGCTCGCCAAGACCCACTCGACGTACACCATGTACACATTAGTGTCTCATCGCCTGCATATGTACACATTAGTTTTCTTCTTGGTGGTGCTCTGTGCCTGAACTCGTGGCATTCTTTGTCCAATAATATGTAAAGCTAGCCCTGGCACGTTATCTAGGTAATGATGTGCAATATACCCCTTGGCTATGATTGTTTGGACCAGAACCCATATTTCTGCTGGGCATCAGTGTGCCATACTTTATTAGTTCAGTTATCAGATGATAGCTGTAGGTTCTGTGGCAATGGTTTACCAGTTGACACCATATAAATATATGCATTCAAAATACTAAAATTTTTTCCCCATTTGCTTAATATACCATTTGACTGATTTATTCACTTCTATAGCAGCAATTTACTCGTTCGGTAAATTAAATGCGTGGTTAATATAGTCCATCACTAGATCAAGTTCACTCATTTTTCTTGTCGACCTCTCGTGTATCTCTAGGTTGTCCTCTGTACAGTAGTTACCATGGACACGAGGCTCGTCATGCCAGCTAAATAACAAGTTGCCACATCTTCTGACAGTTGCAGTTGCCACACTTGCTATGCCAGTCGTATTTGGACATGCCCGCCCACTCTTCAGTCGTATTGTGCCCCACATTCCAGGTTCATGATAAAGCGGATGCATTACCAGTTTTGGGCTCTTATACCATTCTGTATAAATGTTCCTTGTCAACATGGGCTCAATCATTACATGTATCCTCGTAGCAGCACCAAATACTGGGTAAATTTTAATATATATGAATTGCAGTAAGTGTAATTGTCAAGATCTAATGTTATGCCTGTACAGTATCTTGTAAAATGAATTTTCTTTTTTTAAAAGTTTGCAATGTTTGGAAGATGTGTACTACTGTACTTGAATAAAAGGTGTCCCTTGAATAATAAAAGGGATTCATCAATAAAACTTCAGAATGGACAGAATTAATTGGCAAATGTTTCAATGTTGTGGAAAAAATGCCTAGTCTTCCACGCTATAACATTATTCAATTGAACTTATTCTGTAAAGTGAAGGTATTGCTCCAGCAAGATAAACGTGTCCCCTGGTCGTGTACTTGGCAAATACTGGCACACATCTTAAGATTCTTAAAGTAATCCTGAATTACATGCTCATTCACATGGCATTACCATGAGTACAAATAGGACAGTCTAGTCACCTAAACGTTGTCCCCCATGCACGTGAAGATATCGGAACATAATCTAGGCAACTAGAAGGCATATTGGCCCATACGAGGCAGCTCCTATTTATATCCACCCAAACTCATTCATGTCTAACCTATGCTTGAAACAATAGGGATCCTACTTCTGTTACG